AGAGTAATGTATCCCGCAGCCAAACCGCTCCCTCACAACTTTCATGCCAGTAGCTCGCAAAGTAGAATTTCTGCTCACGGGACTCCCAACAGCTTAGAGGGCGTATCTACCGAGATGTCCAATAAAAAACCAAGCAAGCTGGATTCCCTTGTCCGGTTTGGGTTAAAAGAGAGTGGTGGTCTTATTTTAGGCATGGCCCTGTTTGCCTTCAAGGTAGTCATGAGTCATGACCCACCCCTCCCCCTTGCAAGGAGGTGTTTATAATGGCCCACCACCTCCCCAGCCCTGTCTGTGGGATATCCTAATCTACCAACAAAAGGTTGAGCAACCCGACTATGCAACTCCTTTCTCTCTCTCTGGCCTCACGTGACTTTAGTAAACATTGCCTTTGTGCAGGAAAGGTGGGGCTCTGGTTTACGTTAAAAGAACCAGGAACAAACCAGTCTCTGAGAGTTTGCTCCTGGCGAAACCTTGAAATGGTTGTGGCTGTTTTTGTTCCTTTGGTTTGTGTGAAGGCAGTTTTGCCTCGGCTGTGTTCAGTGTTCCCTCTAGGCTGAGTTAGTGTGAGCTGGCTCAGTTTCTTAGCCTCTGGCTCGCACCTTTTTGTCTTCGCTCAGGAAGGATGGCTCCAGAGCAAACTAATTTAGGCAGCAGCCAAATCGCTGGCTCACAACTTTAAATGCCAGTAGCTCACAAAGTAGAATTTTTGCTCACAAGACTCCACAGCTTAGAGGGAGCATCGGCTGTGTTCAGTATGAGAAAAAGATGTCCGTGTGTTTTACAGTATCCCTCCACCCACCCTGGCCCATTGCCCTCTGTCTTCTTTGGCAGGACTTCTGGGGCTTCTTGCTGCTCCATGACAGGCAGATATCCCACAGGGAAAAATTGTGCCAGGGTTCCCTGTAAGCTGAGTTAATGTGAGCTAGCTCACAGTTTTTTAGCCTCCGGCTCACAGATTTTTGTCTTCGCTCAGGAACGGTGGCTCCAGAGCAAACGGATTTAGGCAGTAGACAAATCGCTCTCTCACAACTTTAACGCCAGTAGCTCACAAAGGAGAATTCTTGCTCACAAGATTCCACAGCTTAGAGGGAGCATTTGTTGCCAGCCATCGTTGTATTATTGAGAAATAAAACCCCTGCTGGATTTCTGCCTGTCACACAAGATGGTAAAGAATCAGAAGTCCATGGTGTTGGGGGGTGGGGGAGGGCAACTCTCTCTATTTCGATGGAGGAGGCTGGGATCGGTTTTAGTTTTGTTTCTGCTCCGCTGCAGACTTTTGTCTGTAATTGCAAAGGGTAGGGAAAAAAGCCAGCAAAACTTGCAGCATGCTTGTGTAATGTGCGTGCTTCCTTGAGGGGAAGGTTGGGCAACATAAGGTAACTTCCCTCTAGCGGTCCAGGACAAACATCTTGTGGAAATTCCCGTACATGTGGGAAACCTAATCCTCCTATCACCTCAGAATCTTTTCAAAAATCCTTTCCCTCTCAAACGCTGGTTTGATACAACGCATCTGGCTTCATGTTTCAGCCCAAGCCAATATGTTCATTCTCCGGGTTGTCTTGTTTTGGGAACCTTTTCGGCCCTTCATAGTGGGCTGGAGTCTCGGGTTCAATGACCGTCAGCTTGTCACTATCTCTCATTCAAACCTACCTCACAAGGTTGTTGTGAGAATAAGGTCTGGTGTTGTGACCTTGGGTCAGACCTCTTTCAGAGCTGTTCTCTCACAAGCAGTTCTGGAAAGAGCTCTCTCAGCCCCACCTACCTCACAGGGTGTCTGTTGTGGGGAGGGGAAGGGAAAGGAGATTGTAAGCTACTCCGAGACTCCTTTGGGTAGTGAAGGGTGGAGTATAAATACAATCTCCTCCTCCTCCTCTTCTTTATATCCCCCCATATAAAAACTCTTACAAACAAAATATGTCAGGGGAGAGACTCTAACCCAGGGATGTCAAACATACGGCCTGGGGGCCAGATAAGGCCCCCGGAGGGCTTTTATCAGGCCCGCAGTGGAACTGGCTGTCTTCTGCTTCTTCCTCCAGTTCTGCTGCTGCTGTGTCATCGTAGGTTTGCAGCTTACAGATACACACCTGAACAGCATAAGATTGCAGCCAGCACAGACATTTTGATGCAATAATTCAGAGCAAGAGGTGTCAGTTATCAGACACAGTTCAATAAACAAAATATTGCAAGAGTGCTAATGTTTTAAGCATGTTTTTTTATTTTAAGTAAAAATACCCTTTTCTGTTTGTGTCCTTTATAAAGTTTATATCTCCGCTACCTGGCATTACGTTTTATGACACACATGGCCTGGCCCAACAAGGTCTCATTTATGTCAGATCTGGCCCTCGTAACAAATGAGTTCGACACCCCTGCTCTAACCCAACCCCCTCTCTGCTGTGATAGCTTTTTAATGGACATTAGAAGAGCCGTTCTGGATCAGATCAGTGGTCCATCTAGTCCAGCATCGTATCTCGCACAGTAGCCGACCAGTTCCTCTGGAGTGCCAACAATAAGGCCTAGGGGCCTTCCCCAGACGTCGCCTCCTGGCACCAGGATTCAGAAATTGATTGCCTCTGAACGTGGAGGTTCCCTTTAGTTACCATGTCTAGTAGCCACTGATAGACCATGAAACTGTCGGCCTGCAGAGAGTCTTTTGAAAAACAAGAATTGTTAGGAGGAATATTCCAGGAAATTATTCGGTCTCAAGAGGTTCAGTCTATTCTGCCTGTGTTAGGTGCCCTCGGGATCACCACATTCTCTTGCATTTCGAGAACAGGACTCATTATATCTGGAAAGCCCTGCTGAAGTTATTTGCCCGGGCTGGTCTTCAGACCGTTAATCTGGGAAAGAGCAAAACATTTATAAATGATTTTTAATGACTTTTATCTATAATGGTATATTTCATTCCTTAAACTTTGTATTTCTGGTTGCTTGGTTATTTTCTGCATTTTTGGACTGTAGTATTCCGTACCATACGGACTATGGGACTTGTTTGCTTATGACCCATTAGTCTGTGAGCATGAAGTATGGA